CGCTCTCTCTGAGCCTGGACATCTGTCCTGGAGCCCTAAGCAAGTCTCTGTGGGAGGCCAGTGGCTTCCTCTCCCTGCAGTTCTTCCTTCTATACCTGTGCCTTGTGGCTTTCCTGCCCACCTCAAAGGAGGATATCCAGGGCGTATCAGGTATACACAGTCACCCACATCCAGACTGTGAAGGGCGTGGCCACTGCACACAGGACCAGAGAGAGGATTTGGACACGTCTGTAAATAAGCCTCAGGTTCACAGCACGGTGCCTTTCAAGGGAGGCACTGTAAGTTCACTGAGCAAGGGACCCAAGAGTCTGAAACCCTCGAACGTCACCCTGTGGGAGATCAGGACACATTGTGTAGGGCTGTGACCCCAACTGGATGGTCAGATCCAGTGTGGCCTCTGCCGTGGGGGCTTCAGCTGCGTGTTTCTCGGTCTGGAGACCCCAGCAGAGCCTACCCAAGCTGTGGGGAGGAGGCTCCACTGCTGGGGGTTCTTTGACAGGGTGTTTGGTGTTAGAGGCCCAGGGCCAGAGCACCAGGGGCCCCAGTGGGAGGAGCCAGGTGTAGGGATGCCACCAACCGGCCCAGCTGCGGGAGGCCCGCAGAGGCTAAGTTAAGGTGGTGTGGAAACGTCTGGGAAGTCACCTCGGGAGCCTGGATGGAACGCGCTGTGTTCTGATTCAGTGGATCTGCTGTCTGAGACGCCGCATTTCCAACAAGCTCCCAGGAGTTGCTGGTGCTGCTAGGCTAGGAAGCACATCTTAAAGAGTGAGACTTTTAGGCTGCTTTTTTTTTCTACATCCTGCTTACAGCTTCTGATTTCTAGCCCTGGAGGTGTAGGCCACAGCCCCGAGTAACTCAAGCCCCACCTGCTTCTCTCCAGGGTTCCCCAGCCCTCCACTCTTCTCCCAGCGTCATTCACATCATCTTTGATTCTGGGTTTTGTCTGCCCCCTGATCCCCCTCTCTTCTGCAGCACTTCTCAGATAACCCCTGTATTAAAATCACAAAGACCAGACACAGATGCCCTGGCTGGGGGATCACACACGTGAGCCTGCAGACAATTCCAGATACCCAAGGCCAAGAAGGCCCACGTGAGGATGTCACCCACCCTGGAGGAGACTTGGATGGGGTGGCAAATTTCTGTTTGGAGGAAGAGGGTTTCCAGGATGGCAGATGCCAGAAGATGGTCCTGATGTCTGAGGAAGGGCCACGTAGTCTGATGGGATGGTGGGTCGTGAGCACACTCAGGTATTTGGCTAAGTCTTTCTGATGAGTGGAAGAGACTTCAAAGAGTACTACAGAGTGTCCTTTCCTTCTCAGTAGCCAACAGGTGAAAAAAAACCCAAAAAATCTTGATTCAGAAAGAGAGGGTCTAGCCGTTGAGGAGTGTATCCTGCAGGGCCTGCCTCATCTTGCAGGACAGATTGGCAGAGAGGAAGTCTTGCCATGATGTCCTGCCTGCCAAGTGTGATGGGCAGGTTCCAGGGAAAACAGGCACTGCTGGGCTCCCCAGGAGCCAGTGCATCGAGGAAAGACCAGGGCCCAGGGGGAAGTTAACACACATAAAAAGATGCTGCATGTACTCATGTGTGTGATTGGGGTTCACTCTGGGCTATAGAAAGATGAGCTTTAGGCCAAATAATCACTATCTATACAGGGGAATGATGGCAGTGGGACATATGAATACAGCAAAGGACAGTATTTGGAAATTAGCTGGGCAGTGACACAAATTGGCCCAAGAAAGATATAGATGCAGAGGAGAGAAAGAAAAGTATTCTGAAACTCTTGAGTGCAATGTCCACAAAGCAACAAGTTCAAACTTTGCAAGTCGATGTAAAGAATCCTGAGACAGGTGTGTGAGAACAGTAGACCTGCAGGTGGGGGATTGCAGATGCCATGAATAATTGCAGACTTTTGTCCATAGGATTCTTCAGATTTGTAAGGGTTCCTTTTGTATGTGGGGGTCTACATGGTATACGAGAAAAGGCAAATGGGTATATGGGTAGCTGAGTGGATTCTCAGCAGGTCGGGAGGAGGACAGCAGGATGGTCCTTAGTCTGACCCCTAGGAAGAGCCAGAAAAGAGGACAGGTGGCAGGTAGGAGCTGCCTGGCTCAGGTACCCTTGTAAGTGCTCTAAGTCAGGGGGTGTAGGGATGGCTGCCGAGGGAGTCTTTTCATGTGCCCCATATCACTGTCCAATGAGACACACAGAGACCTCTCTTAGCCCAAAGCAAGGTGGTATGGGGCCTCTGTACACTTGAGAGGACAGAGGAAATTGGCACTCTAGAAAAGCAGCGTGAAACTCAAGAGATCCTCCTGTCTCTCTTCCCAAAGAGCTTTTCTGGCAGATTTCCCTGCCAGCTGACGTACCCCAAGCCCCACCTGCTTCTCTCCAGGGTTCCCCAGCCCTCGAGTCTCCTCCCAGCATCATTTGCATCATCTTTGATTCAGGATTTTGCCTGTCCTCTTCTCTCCTCTCCTTTCCCAGCGAGAGGCTCACTGGTTCCTATCATTTCTCCAACCATTCCAAGTCTCAGTCCTTCCTTTCCCCCCAGCAGCCCCTGTTTCTGTCCAGACCCTGAGCTCCTGCAGAGTTTCCTAACTGGTCTCTTGGCCTCTAGGCACTCTCTGCTCTGCCCTAGGGCCCCTCAGACACCTCTCTTGGGGACATTTTTCTCAAGCACTATTTGGCCCAGGTCAAACAAACGTTCGGTGGTTCCCCATTGCCAACAGGTTAAAAGTCCAAACTCTTTAACTTAGCTTTGAGGTTCTCTGAACCCTGCTCCCAGCTCTTCTTGCCTCTTTTTGCACTGGTTTCCGGCATAACCATTGCATTTCTGCCTAGCTAACTTCTTCAATTCATCCTGAATGTGCCACGCCTACCCCCCGATCTCCCAATACATGGACTTCTCCAGCCAAGGTCCATTTCAACTTCCAAATCAAGTTCCACTTTTAAGTGGTGACGTTGCCTACTAGGAGGCCAGGCTCCCTTGGGATTTAAGGTCTAGGGAACTCAGATGAAATTCCACTTTGCATGATTTCTTCGGAGGTTTGTGACTGCGTGGCCGTCACAGCCTCCTGGTTTCTGCCTTCTGTACGTCTCTCTGCTCTGTTTACCCCATCATCTGGGTGTAAGATGTGGTCACAAATCAACTGCAAGAAATACTTAGGGGTCATGTTTTGATATTGTGGAGAACTGGGCATGTTCTGGAGAAAACCAGCCTTGTATATGGCAAACATACATGCACACACAAGTATTTAAAAAAAAATTCTTCCTACCCCCTTGCCATTGGAATGTTCTCTTAGCCCCAGGTTGGCATCCGGCCTCAAAATTTTACTGCTGTGGCTCTTTCTGCTCACACTCTTCGACCTCTCACTCAATGACTCCTCCCACTCCTTCCCCCAAGCCAGCCCTCTGCACCCCTCCCCTGTCAAAAAGAAAAATCAAAATCCTTCTGCTTGTCTCATGCAGTTTGGTTCACCCTCTCCTCTGAGCCTTGGAATAGACTGCATTAGACCTGTGGGACCTCACATTCTGCCATAAGCGCTGGTCAAACTCTCCCACCCCCACCCAAGCAAATAGCGTTCTTTCTCTAAGAAGGTGCCAGCTATTCAGACATACCCCATGTACTTGGTTATGCCTGTGCAACATCACTCCATGGCTCCCTGGTTAAGGCTTTCCTGGGGTGGTCCAGTTTCATTATGCGCCCAGACTGGACTGTCAATTCTCTTTGTGCCAACCTTAGGTCTTGCACTTGGGCAGTGGGGCAGTGACCACTTTTGATAGTGACAATGATGGTAGTATGAGAGCCCACTGCTAAGTCACTCTGGGAACTTTTTTTGAGAGGAAGATAGAGTCCACCAGCACTTTAAGAGTACTCTGAAAGTGCCAGACAGCCCAGGTGCCTGAAAAGTCTCCTACAAAAGGAAGACATACAAGAAGAGGAAAACACAGCCAGATAAAGAGAGGGGCTCCCAAGATTGCTGGAGGAAAGGGAAGTCTATCCCTGCAGATGTAGTAGGGGGAAGCCTTGGGGCTGCCTGTCCCAAGTTTCATTCATTCATTCCAAAATATGTGTCTGAGTCCTACTCTGTGTCAGGAACAGTTGTAGAAACTGGGAACACACTAGTGGACAAGACAGACTTGGTTTCTGCTTCCGTGGCAGTTATACTAAGGGAAGAGACCACCCCTCGTATTGTCTTATGCCCAATTTCTGCCTCTAAAGAAAGAATAAGTAAAAACTAAAAGGCAGAAATGAAATCCACAAGCAGATAGCCTGGCTCCATACCCTGGGCCTGGTAGTTAAAAATTGACCCCTGACCTTATTGGTTATTTGCTTAAAAAAGCACTGTGAAGATCCCTGTCCTGTTCTGTTCTAATTACCAGTGTATGCATCCCCAGTCACGCACCTCCTGCTTGATCATGACCCTCTCACACGGACCCCCTTAGAGTTGTGAGCCCTTAAAAGGGACAGGAATTGCTCACTCTGGGAGCTCGGTCCTTGAGACAGGAGTCTTGCTGATGCTCCCGGCCAAATAAATCTCTTCCTTCTTTAACTAGGTGTCTGAGGGGTTTTGTCTGTGGCTCTTCCTGCTACAATACTACGCAAAAGACAGACATTAAGCAAATAAAAATCTTGTGGTTGTGCCGAGAGCTCTAAGGGATGATGGAGGGATTGCCCAGTGTAACCCACAAGCTCAGGCTGTAGTCAGTCCTGAATCGAATTCACAGGGACAGGAAGGGATGTGGGCGGGGTCAGGGAGGACCAGGAGGGAGGCTCAGGAGAAATGGCCAAGAGGTGAAATGTGTCCCAAGTCCAACATGAGGGAAACCTTCCTAACGAAGAGCCTGGAGCCTATTCCCCAGGGCTAGATACCCTCTCTGGGACTGGACTAAATGATTGCTGAGAGGCTCTTACAGCTTCTTGCAAAGAAATGCGGGAAGGAAAGATGATGAGTTTTAATGGTTCTAATTTGTATTTTTTGCTTATTTCACTTAGCAGGAAGAGGCTTCCTGCATGGAAACAACTGATTTCACAGAGAACCTGCAGCTGGATTCAAGTTCAACCCAGAAAAACTGACAGTGAGGGCTACCCAAAGATTGGGGAGGGATTGCATTTGTTCCAGCCTCATGAGTCACACAATATTACACCATCCTTGTGGAACAACTTCCATAAGTCTTTTTGAGGGAGTGACCTGCCAGAGTTTCTTGTGGGGAAGGCTTAGAGTATGGCTCTTTCTTCGCAGGAATAATTTCAAGCCTGGGATGCCGCTATCATTCTTACAGAGAGTGTTTTCTTCTTCTGACAGATGCTGCTGGCAGTACCAGCCTGGGACACCATAATCCAAGTTCACAGCCTGAGTTTCCCTGGATCAACCTGACAATACGAAGTTAAGTTCCAAGTCCATGGAGGGTTGGTTTACTTCGGGCTCACCGTTATTCTGAGAGTATAGCCCTTCAGAATTAGCGTAAAGGAGATGAGGGGACCTATTTGGGCCCCCAACTTCGGTGGCGCTGGGCTGCGACTTTTGTCTGTGAGCCATCAGATGGGCAGTGTGTTTATGACCACATTCTTTGGATCCACCAGTGGCCTCAAGGCAAAAGCAGCTTTGAGCACTGGGCTTACAGTCCTGCATTCTCTTCTCTATGACTGACTCTGCCCCGTCATTCTTCACTGTCTTGTTATTCTTGTTATCTCTTTGATGTCTTTAAGAAGACTGTTTTTTTTTTTTTTTCTTTTGAGAAATGTGGCCTTGCTTTGTTGCCCAGGCTCCTGTACTCAAGCGATCTTCCTGTCTCAGCCTCCCAAAATGCTGGGATTACAGGCATGAGCCTCCACGCCTAGTGTTTATTTATTTATTTATTTATTTATTTATTTTCAATGTCCCACCCTGCTTTCATAACTGTCCTCACAGGATAGTTCCAATGGCCCTGTGGGCTGTTTCGAGAAGGAGAAATCTTAGCTACTTTTCTCCACCTTTCCTTGTGGTGGGGCTTCTTGCCAGCTTCAGAGATGTACAGGCTGGGGAAACTGGAGTGCAGCAGAGCCCGGAGGAGGGGAAAGGGCAGAGAGGAATGTGGCTGTGCCCTAGGGTGAGAGTGGAGGAGGCTGGTGCTTCTGGTCTACCCAGAAGAGCCTCCAGAACTGGCATCTACATTCATCTGCCATGGAGTCCATATTTCTTGAGGGGCTTGGCAGATAGGGACAGCCCAGAAAGAGAGAGGAAGAGTCACGAATGCCGGAGTGACCTGCAGAACTCAGAGGATCAGAGAGGTGCAGGGGGGTCAAGCACCAGGGAGGCCCGTCTGCAGACCATGCTGATGGCCTGTGGGACAGATGTCTTTCTTTCTTTTCCAACGATTACCTTGGCCTTAAACTTTTACCATTTTTGGATGCCAGGGAAAATCAGGCTTCTGAGCTTGCGAAGGCTGAGTGGAGTTCCATGTGTCTCCTCTGGCCTTCATGTGGCTTCCAGGAAGAAGCATCCCCTTTAACTTCATAATTGCACAGGTCTTCTTTCAGTTTGTGAGAAATCTGTCTATTCACTTATTCATTCATTTCACAAATATTTACTGAGCACCTTTTATGTACCGAGTCCTATTCTGGGCACTGAGGACATAGCAGCCTCCAAAACAGACAGACAGAAAAAGCCCGCCCATATAGATTTCACATCTCAGGAATGTTTCCCTGCATGAGGGTATGTTTAGAGATCTTTCACCCGCCTAAGTCATCAGGGTAAGAGTTTGCTCTGCTAGTGGTACAGATTCCACAACTGCCTACCAGGTATACTTGTGCTTTTGTGCAAGGAAGATTTTCTCTCCAGTACTCGTATTTTTTTAAGGAAGATTTTCTCTCCAGGACACGTATTTTCCAACAGCCCAAGATGCATGGAGTTTCTTTAGCTTCTATCACTAGCCTTCTGGGGGTGGGCAGATCCCTCTGCCAAATTTACACCTGCAGGGTGAGGTGGGTTGCATAGCAAACCAGAGCTCAGTGTTGAGTCCCACAAGGCTTCCATCAAGGGAAGAATGCTGGTGGAGGATAACGGGTGGGTCTCTCTAGATGTTCAGAGGGGGCCTGTGGCTTATTGCCTGGGTGGGCCAAAATGTCAGCTAAGGGAACTACAGCAGAAGCTCATTTAGTTGGAATGTTAGGATCTGAGACCAGGTAATGACTTTGCTGGCTGGGGTTTAGATGTCTGTCTAACTTCACAGGAGTACAGAGATTGAAAACACTTGATCCAGTCACAATATCTTCTGGATACATTCATTTGCATTCTCTTTCTGTTACACAGATTAGGAAATGGGCCTGCCTCAGTTCTAGTGAAGCTCTTGTGCCCCAGCATTAGAGGTAGATGGGTGAGGCAAGGGCGATTTCATGCCTTCCTTCTAGACAAGAGGGCAGCCTGTGTGTCTTGAGGGCCATGCTTCTCCACCTACCTCGATGAATAAAGCAGTTAGTGGGGGTCCCCCAGGTGTGGCTATATTTGGGGATATTTTAACAGGAATGCAGAGAGGCTACAGATCAGGTTCGACAATTTGCTGCCTGCCAACATACACTTTACTTGTGTTTTAAAATGTAAACTCTGGAAACATCCTACAAGGTTCACAAGGACGCCTTAGTAGCTGACTGAAAGAAGTGTCTTTCTCCAGCCCAGGTAGCATTTCTGCCAGTCATGGCTGGTGCTGGGCTGACAACAGCAGTTTTCTTTCTAAGACCCAGTTCCCTTCTGGAAGGAGAATTCTAAAAGTGGAGGAAAAGCATCATCTCTTCTAGAACCTCTTTGTTTTTATCTTTCTTATACCACATTAGCACGGTAGTATTCTCCAAGGATCTTGGCAGGCAAGAACTGGTTTGGTTACTGTATTTGATTGCTTTTGTGGAGTCCAATAAAGAGGACTATTGTTTCTAGAAGGTCACTGGAAACAGGCATATGGCTTTCTGGTAAGCACAACATTAAGACCAGTGTGAGGCTGAGGGTGTCCTGAAGCCCTACTCTGAGGTAAGAAGACTTCTGTTCACGATTTCAGTCAGAATCAAACAAGGTATGCCCAGAGCTGAGATGCAGCTGAGCCAAGCAAGAGAGGGTAGTGTCCTACAATAAACTGCTGATACGTATCTCGCTACCATGTGCTGAATTCATTAGGGCAAGAGCTGGGTTCTTCTCCAGTATTCGTATCCAGTTCCTTTCCAGCAGCTGGACTACTTACAAAACTCTCAGTAGGCTTTTGTGAATTAAATTGTATCCTAAGATACCTCCTTAGAATTTCCAAATCTGTCTTCAAATTCAAATGAAGATACACATAGCAGAGGCTGACACCTCCAAAAGAGTTTGGAGGCAGTTTACCAGTATGTCACCCTTCGTTCACATTTCTACCTTATTCTCTCTTTCCCTTAGTTATTAGTACTCAGAATTCTAAGTAGTTGGGTGTCTAGTCACTCAGTTGACTGATAGAAGAAAACTCAGTTCTTTGAGATTATGTCAGGGTGGACCAAACTGCAGTAACAAATAGACTCAAAATATAATGGTTCAAACACAAGAGATGTTTATTTCTTTCTTTCATAATATTCCAAGGCAGACATTCCAGATTGTTGGAGTAGGGGCAGGGGAGAAAGTTTGGCTCTAATGTGTCCCCTCAGGAAATAGGCTGATAGTGGCATTGCCATATTCCAATATTAGCTGGCTTCCAAAATTGCTATTACCATTGTCATTATCAGTATAGCTCATGGGACCTGGGGAAGAACAAAGAGGAGAACATCTGGGAGGTCTTATGGCCACTTGGAAGTGGTGTGCATCTCTTCTGCTCACATGGGAAAGAACATAATTAGACACACCCAAACATCCTGACTGGGAAGTGGGGTAGTGTACCTAGCCACCTTGGAAATGGAGGAAAATTTGAGTGGGAGTAGAGAGACTCAGGATCTTGGATCTGGAAGAGGTCTTAAGTGTGAACGCATCCAATGGCCAACCCAGGATAAGCACTGACCTTCCTGCTGGATTGCTCCCTGCCCCCATCATGCATCTCAGCTGACTTTCTGATCTAGGAATACTAAGCATCAATCAGTGGAAGGAAAGCAGGAAGGGTCTCTTCTTTCAATACATTCTTTGCCACTTGACAAAAAATGCTGATACAGAAGAGGGAGAAAATAAATCCAGAGAAGCTGCCTGCATGAGGAAACTCATTCTTTACGGCCCTGTGAGGCGGAGATTGTACCTCACAGAAGGGGCTACATCACTGATGATGTTACAGGATCCATAAACACCATAGTTACTGCTTGAATCATAACTGCTGCTTCCAGTTGGCTGTGGTTACATTTCTAGAAGGATAACTACTTTTTGTCATTTTGGAGATAAGCCAACATCAGCCCACATGTGACTTTAGAAGGCTTTTCTGAGTCCTAATTGCTTACCTCCTGAATAGGCTTTCTTTTAAGCTTGATTGGCCTAATTTCTCCCATCCATCCCATTTCTACACACCCTTCCCATGCCCCCACCATAACTTGCTTAGGCAAACCCTGCAGTCCTGGCCTGCTGGTATCTGTTGATTGCATTTAGACTCTCATGTTCCTGCCACTGCCCTTGAGCTCCTATTTCACCTTGTGCAGACCATCCCAGTCAACTCACCCTCTCTCTAGGTCACTTATGGGCACTTATCCATTGCCTGGATTATTGCATATGTTTGTTCAATGTTAATCATGTTTTCTCTGTGACGTTGTATACTCCTTGAGCATTTGGGACTTTCTCAGGCTTGAGCGTGGTGCAGTGAGTATTCTGTACACATTTCCGGACAATGGCAGTCCGGTGAGAATCTGGGAGACTCTGCAGTGACTTGAGCCAGCGATGTAGATGAATGTAATTGTTGGATGGTGGGGATTGGTAAAACCCCTCTACTTTGGCTAGGAGCAGAAGAGGAAACTCAGCAGCAGGAGAGAACAACAAGAGGAAGGGTTCCTAGCTATACTCAGCATCAGTGAACCCTACCATAGCTGGATCAGATCTGAATTGGCCACACCCTGGGGCCTTAGACTGTCTAGGCAATGGCAGGGTGCTGGGAATTGGAGGGATGATGCTAGAGGCTGACAGTGTTCTTACTGGAAACACTCAGCTCAATGGATAGGACAGCAGCTTCCCGAGGAGATGGGGGAGCAAGGCCAAGCGAGGAAAGCAGGACTTGCAGAGGGTTTTGGGCCACCTCACCTACTTTCCCTGCCTCTTCCTCCAAGGGGCCTTGCAGACAATGCTTCTTGCCCAGAGAGAGTAGAGGGTGGGATGGGGAGAGGGCATCATTCATTTCTTGTGTCTGAGGTGAATGGGTGTGGATGAGCTCTGGCTCATTCTCTTCAAGCTAGACCTTAAAGGACTCCTAGCTGCCCCCACACTCCAGTCATTCATGGAGTGGGTGCCAAGCTCATCTCTATTTGAAACTCAGGGTCTGTCTGGGAGCCCAGAATTCCTGAGCAATTGTTTTATGGGGTATAAAGTGTTTCTTCAGCAGGGAGGATGATGTGGTGCAAGATGCACATGTATCCTAGAACTTAAATTAAAAAAAAAAAGAAAAGACAATTCTACTGTGCAAATTAACTTCAGACCTGGAGAGCATACAGGGAAACAAGCCACATGCCTCGTAGCAGGTTCCCTGGGAAATTCCTTGCTCTCCTAATGTCTTTCTCATAGGCAGCCCTCACCCCGGTGGGCTATGAGATTTTGCCCCCTCAACCTGAGAACCAACAGGGGTTAATCAGGGTGAGCACTGGAGAAGCACAAGTGAAGATTCTGAAGAAGCACAA